TCAATAAACAACCTCAAGTTTGCGTTATATCCTCCAATCCCCAACCTTTCATCAGATATATAATCTACTGTATATACCTGGCGTGACATCTCATTTGCCACACAGATCGGCGTGTGCGAGATACCCTGTGTTCGATCCTTTTGTGAAAATTTGAAATATAGTTAATGCCTTTCAAAGACAGATGAATACTGAAGATATTGAACCGCCGCTGAATGAGATTCCTCCATAGGGTTTCAAATACAGGCTTACTTTTGAGTGATACAGTCCACATTCTCTGTATCAACATAGAAAGTATATTTCAAACCGTCTGGAAAAGATGATGAACTGACAGCTATGGTACTTGATTTGACGTCGTTTTTAGCCTAGAGTGACTGAGGTATAGGAGCTGAACTAAAAATAAGCACTTCACATTCCTTTAGTCCAAGCATATTATCGTCTACAAAAACGACAACTCGAGCCACTAGAAGTAATTGAGAAGACTGAGACCCGGCCATTGGACGCCGCCCAACAATCGTGCATACTTTTTATCAATGAAGTTACTTCTTGAACGTCACATTCGTTCTCTGCAGCTAGAGGGTAGATCAGGTGTACTTCTGCGGCTCTGTCATAGTAAGGTGCATTATTCGATTTGGTTTAAAGTCTATATTTCTGTTAGTATTTGGGAAATATAAATAAAAAGCTGAAAGGAATATGGGACGATCGATTCTCTCGGAAGTAGTGAGTCTGCTCGGTGGCATGGAAGGGTATGTAATCCGCAAAAATCGAAAGTTATTTATGGATTTCTACTGATTGACTAACATAGGGCAGGAAGTCGAAGAGGGTTATTTCACACCTTGTGTTGCCTTATTATGTAGCAAGTTGACACACTGGCCGATGGAATTGCGACAGAGATAGTGCGCAGAGCGCGTGACAAACAGACCTTTGGTCGACGAACAAAAGAACATGCCTGTCGGTTTCCGCATAGCCAACGCCTGCTATGACCGCGTAATTACCACGAGTCTGTCGAGGGGATTCAAGGCAAATAAGGTTCACTTTAACGGCTGCGATCTTCCAGGCCCGGTTCCTTGGGAGAAGAGAGAGAGAGAAGTCATGGAAAGGCCCAAGTAGTAGAAAGAGTTTATTCCGCAGAGGAATTAAAGAAGAGATAGTAGGATATTTGACTCGGATTCGCAGGCGTCCGACAGTGAGAGTGCGGGGTCGTCAACGGCACCGACAGCGCTGCCTGCGGCTGCTCCCTAGTTGGGTTGAATCCGGAGTGACGCCTGGTGGCAGACACGGCATTGAGGTCTGTGACAGTCGGCCTGCGATTGGCTATTCCAGAAGTCGGAAACAGCAGGCGTTCCCAGAAT